TCTTTCGAGATACTGTAATACTGCTCCTCTTTTATTTGCCATTTGTCCTTTTGTTTTATGGCTCTCTTTGCTGCAAGCTTCTTTGTTGTTTCTTCCAGATTATGCTCCTCAGGGACTTCTGTATCAGTACGACTGAACATTGCTTGCAGCCATGCCAGATTGTGCTGTGATCTTATTGGATTTCACAAACCGAGGTTAGGCCAGGTCAGAGCTTGGTTGAAATAACGTAGACTACAAGATTGCCTGCTAGCCACTGGGAACACACACAACAAAAACCTGACCCAGATGTTGATTCAGTCAGCTCAGGCTGGCAGTGCTGCCGTGCTGGCTGCTGTGGGTGCGATACTAATGAAAAGTTCTGACCTGTTCTGGCTGGTAGGATTTCACAGCTTTTTTTAGAGAAGAGTACTGTTGTTAATTCCAGTGTTCTGGCCCATTACAAATCCTTTAATTCTCTATCAGGATTACACTGGAATTCAGTTGAAGATTATATTCTCTGATCTTCTCTTCCCGGTGCTGCTGTGTAATGATTGCCCTTGAAACTTGCTGTGCTGTTCAAAATGCTGCATCTGTGTGCTGGATGCAATAATTAAAAAATTTTCTTTGCTTTCCTGATCTTCTAAAGCAAAAAATAATAAAAATTAATAATAATAATTATATATATATATATATATATATATATATATATATATATATATATGTACACCAGTACACCAGTCTTCAGACTAATGGTTCTGGAAAGGTAGCATTTTATTAGTAAAAATAACACATGAAAATTACAGTTCAGCTTTTCTTAGAGTTGCTTGAAGTTTCTGACCAAAAGATCTTATGAAGATGTGTAAGTATGTTCACACTTAGCTTCACTGAGTGCATATTAGGTGGAAAATTGCATGCTATTATGCCTGAGTGCCCCAAAATGATAGGAAGACTGAATATATAGATAAGGCTTTTCTAATTTATTGCAGAGGTATTCGGACCTATTGGTGTTCTTTATGGTTTTTAATAGCTTATTCCTTAAAATAAAGCTGTGAGAGGCTAGAAGGTGAACATAGAAAAATATGTAATGGTGTGAAATAAAGGCCAAAATTAACTTGGGCTACATGTGCCAACCTTTGTTTCATCCCTGCTCTCAACCTGAGGGAAGGCTGCTGGAGAGTTCATTTGCCTGTGTCCATGCTGGAACAATACTCATGAAGTAGTGGAAAGAACAGTACAATTAGCTTGATTTACCTTGATGTGCCCAGAAGTACAGTGATGGACTTAGATCTATCACAAAACCTGAATATATCTAGCTAGGCAGCAGCCATTAACAGCATAGCCATTAAGAACATTTAAAGACTGTAAATTGTGAATCTGCAGAGGAATTAGTGAGGTATGAAAGGGCAGGGGTGACTAGGAGTCAGTAAATTAAATACTTCACAGGCTGGATCAGGAAAAACTTCATGTCAGTTTAAGCTGTAGTGTGATATCTTTCTGTGTAGAGTCATGTGGTATCTTTCTGTGAATATGTAAAATAAGTCTCGGGATTCAAGTCTGTAATGTGTTTTACATACTGGGACAATTTTCTGCGGCTGGATGGGGACCAGATAATCAGGTATTTATACCCCTGGGGTATTTTCATCTTTTGAAAGTTTTGGGTCCACTTTTCTCTGTCAGCATCTGTATATTGAGGGAAAGTATTGAATATCTTGACTTCTAAATCCAAGTTTATATGCATTTCTGCATAGACAAAATGGAAAATTTAAAACTGGAGTAGGAAGATTAATGTTCTATAAAAGATGGGATTTACAGTTTGATTGTAAGCGTTTGGCATTGAGGTTACCCATAATTATTCTTAATAGGTAAATTATCTCTGTCTCTGATAATCCTAATCATCAGTGCAAAGCTTGGCACTGCCAGCAGAGATATGGAAGGTGTAGTGTAGGAGAAGGCTGGAAGGAGTCTTTCATCTCTGCCATCCTTTGCCAAGGGCTTACTGTACATGCAAATTCATCAGCTTTTCTATTGTGGTGCATTTATATATCCTGGAGAGGCTGAAATCTGGGAATTAATTGCTCTGTGTGCTCAGGGGGCCACTCTGCAGTGGGAGAATCTGTAGGATTGGGACAGTAGAGGCTGATGTTGCTGCAGCATTAATAAATACATGGGGTAATGTCCTGCAGAAGAGTATGAAGAGCTTTGTTTATTGATTTTGTCCTTACCTCCTTTGTTTTAGGAAGTGCCAGCCTGGCTAACCCTTTATAAGAAAACAGCATGACTGATGTTCACCTGCTGAACAGATATGCTGGATATGTTTGGGGGAGGTGGGCTGATGGTGTCTGTGCAGGGGACAGATAGCTGTTGTTTTCAGCTGTTATTTACAGGATCAATAAAACTGATTTTCCAATTCAAGGATAATTTTTACCAACAAGCTACATAGCCTATATAAGGTCATAATATTGGATCTTCTCTTTTTCAGAACAAGTTAATTTAAAAATGATAGGTAGTTTCCAGCTCAGAATGAGTTTTGTAATAGAAAGGAAAGATGTATCTGGAAGAAACACCTTGGGAGGGGGGTGAGAATTTTGCCTCAGAACAACATTGCTGCACACTGCCCACAGTCCTTTTCTTTGAACAATAATCATTTAACTGTGTATGATATTTTAATGACAAATGAAATGTAATAAGAAAATGCAGAGCTGTTTTATTACAATCCTGGTTCAGTTATTGTTGGAGGCTGTGAAAATGCTGCTGTAGACTTTACTGGGCAATGCCAGGTGCTCTCTGTAAAGTGCAGTATATTTTATGACCACTGTCACTGTAGAGAAAAATATTTTTTGATGTTGTGGAATTATTTCAGGCCAATAGTGAGTGTATTCACACATATATGTCCAAATACCATTCATTCCTTTTGCAGTTACTTTATCTCAGTCTTTTGTGACCTGTTGAGAATGTCTCACATCCGAGTCATACATGTACATATGCACATATTTTAATACTGCATTCCTCCCTCTGCATTTTCCCTTCTTGCCCACTGCATGCTTAAGAAAAGGCACAGTTTAAAAGGAGTATCAGTATGAATTTTCTACAGTTGTGCCTATGTGATTGGGGTGAGATACAGCTTTGAATGAGTAAAATCATGCAGTTATCATTTTATAAGCAGATGACCTTACCTACTATCAGTATGAATTCTGCATGGTGAGGAGAAAATAGCCAAGAAGTGTTCTTCCATTGCAATAAGTCTGAATGAACTTTACATGCCAGAAAAGTTTTATATTTTTAGATTTTAGAAAAAAAACCTTTTTATTTTTGACATCAAACTCAACCCATTGCAAACCCCAGAGCATCATGAAACATATCCAGAGTCTCTGTCCTTTTCCTATACTTTGGTAAGTCTCGGGCTTTTGTAGTCATTACCTATGAAATATGTAGTCTGTGGAAGTCTACATAAAAATCAAATGCGGTTACCTTTGAGAAGCTTTGGGTTCAGACCTAAAATACTCTTAAGTCTTCATGTGCCATTTTTCTCAAAGTCTACACAGCCGTTTATGATTCCCCTTTGCTCCTTTATATATGGAGTAGTGGAGGAAAAAAAATGGACGAATGTTGGTTTGATTTAGAGGAATTTGATGGTGAAGATTTATTTAAAATTGAAAAGATATTTTTCTTTACTGTGATTGGAGAAAAGTTTTCCTTTTTTGGATGGTAAATAGTTTATAATGTTTGAGTAAGAATCTGGCTTTTGGATGGCTGTGTTGCTGATGAGAGCTGCTGGCAACAGAATCTTTCTAACACCAAACTGCTAGTTTATTAAAAGAATAATAGGAACAGATGTTTTCAATTCATAAAATGTATCAAGTAAATGGTACATCCACATGTTATTTCAATTCCTTTGAATTTCTGTGAACTCATTTGGGGCTAGGTTTGCAAAAGAGCTTAGCCCACTGTCACTTCATTGTTCTCACTCTAAACTGATGGATGATGAACGTGTTTGGGAACTGCAGCTTTTTATGCCTAAAGGGGAACTCCTAACTACTGACACTTCTAAAATTTGGCCCATGTTTCTGATGAGTGAATACTGATCATTATAGAGGATTCACACATGCAGTCTCTGAGTAATACCCTGCATTTGCCTGTGATTGTATATATGATGGTTCCTTAATTTACTATTGCACTAAGCATTTTAATTCAAATTATGCTAATAGTGTAGGATTAACTGCAGATTATGATTCTAGCATGTACTGTCATTCAAACAGAAGAACCAGTTCTTTAGCTCCTACAGCCTCTTTCTCCCTCTCATCTTGATGTGTACTAATTTGTGCTCAAGACTGGCCTCAGGTTTTGATGGGGTTTCTTGTTTAAACTGATGAAATTGCTTAGGGAAAGGCAGTTGTTGAAAACCAGGGAAAGAGAGACTGAGATTCTTTTTGTCTTCTGATGACACATTTTTACGGTGCTGAAGTGATTTTCTGAAAACAGTGATTAGAATGGGCTCTTGCCAGCACTGCACAGTGAACAGTTCTGGTTTTGCCTTCATTCCTCAGTGGTAGGACAGGCTGCACATACTTTTTTTTGCACTCTTGACTCAAATACATATTTGAGAAAAGTGCTAGGCGGTTATGTAAAAATCACCATAAAAGTCATAGAATAAATAATATGTGCAAGAGAACTGGTGTTATATTGGTCCTTGCTAGAGCATATAGCAGGAGGCCAGTTCTGTTTGCCAATTCTGAAAAAAAAGCTTTATAGCCACCCAAGATGGCTCTTCTTGAAGCATAACCTCTCCAGAGAGCTTCTCCTCTCCCGAACTGCAGATGTGTGGAAACACAAATTTGCTTCTTTAATGTTTGCACTTCTTTCATTAGATTGTAATGGCATGCAGCCTGTTTGCATTGGTGAATCCATCTGTATTACTTCAAATCCTTAATTTGTTACATTTTTTGTTGAGTGCCTGATATTTCTAGTGACTTTGTGTTGTAGCAGCAGTCTAAAATCTGCCTTTTTTCTCATTCTTCCTCCAGCTGATATTATTTCTACAGTTGAGTTCAACCACACTGGAGAACTGCTGGCTACTGGTGACAAGGGGGGTCGAGTTGTTATATTCCAAAGGGAACCTGAGGTATGTGGGTTACCAGTGTAGTCTTCAATAGCCTGATAAAACCTGGCTGAATTTTTAATACTTTATTTGAATTAAATTAACAAACTTGTTTATAATCTCAAGATGCGGTAAAACAGTGTCACCTGTTTAGAGAGGAAGTGAAAAAGGGTAAGGATTTTTAACTTGTAAGCTTGCTGTCCCAAGCAAAAATGCTTCAAAGCTCCAAAAGTCCGATATAAGCAAAAAGAAGGTAATTTTTGTTTTACTTCTGCCTTGTTTTAATAGCTTTTTCCTGATGATGGAACCCCATTCCATTTAAAACAGTACCTTCACTTACCTTTATGTTCCACTTGTAAATTCCATCCATCTGCAGTATCTTGTGTAGAAGTCTTTCCTGAATAGCTGACATGTCTTCAAAAATTCTAATATTAAGTGTTTCAGTACTCACAGGAAATTCTATTCTTGCTGAAACAAATCTATCAATATAATGTTTTAAATGAGAAATTAAATTAAATTTTCAATATTTTTATATTTATAAGACTGCTTATGCACCTTTCCTAAGAGATGAAGATTTATCGCTGTCATAAACAACATTTCTGTTCTTATTCTCCATAGAGTAAAAATGAGCCTTACAATCAGGGGGAGTACAATGTTTACAGCACTTTCCAGAGCCATGAACCGGAATTTGATTATTTGAAGAGCTTGGAGATAGAAGAGAAAATAAACAAGATCAAGTGGTTACCACAGCAAAATGCAGCTCACTCACTTTTATCAACAAATGGTGAGACTGATGAGAGTATGCAGAACATATCAGTATTTGCAGTATTTGCTCTATGTGTTTTAGTGCTGACAGTATATATTTGCTCATTTTAAACTGCTGTTTTAGTAATTTCCTCTTTCAGAGTTTACCAAGACTGTCATACTGCCTCTGATATCTGTTGTTTGTATATTTTATTCATAGAATCATGAGGTTTTTCCGACTGATTATTCATAGACATTTAAAGAGCTATCCATTTTTTTATTATATGCAGTGCTGTCCTGAAATATATCTTTGTGACAAAGGCATCACCTTATTCAGCAGCTTGTGTTTTGTGTGAAATTTAGAATTTTTTTCTGCTGTATTTGTCATGACTTTTATTATTTGTAGATGTGTAAATGAAGGTAGGTAACAGAGATTAATTTTTTCTTTTCATTCATTATCATCAGAATAGTTTATTTAAGTTTTAAAGAGGTACACAAATCTTGGGAAGACAGGATATTGATACTGACTCATATTTATAACATGTCTAAGGCCTATTGATGAAAGAAAGCAGCATTATTACAAAAAGGGGATGTTCAGATACTAAATAAGGGGAAAAAACTGAATGTAAGCTAACGTGCACAAGTTTCATTTAGGAAGCATTTAGATACCCACAAACTTTATTATTGCAGATGATGCATGAGACAAAATACCTGATTTTAAATTTGAGATCTAATGGTAATCAGAATTTTTCTTTTTTTGTTCTAGAAGTTTGAGTATAATTGGGAGTTGATGATGAAAAATAGGGTAATATCATCTTTGGGAACTGCTACAATCACAAAGTGATTGGTTTGCATTAAAATATATAGCATTAAATAATGCTTACGTTCATTCAAAGTAGTAGTAATTTTTTAGTATTTTTTAGTTTGTTTTATTTAAAGTTGTCTTCGACTTTTTGGGGGCACTGTTACTTATTTGAAATGAAACACACCTGTTACAGACAGGTGATTTATGCTAATTTAATGCTTAGTCACCTTATGAAGTTTGGGAGTTTATTTCTACTCTTCTCCCTTGGTCAAAATATCCCTCACCTTCTTCAGATAACTAAGAATGTCTTCTTCCGAGCATGTGATACAGAAGCAGATCATTGAAATTAAACCTCTCCCTTTTCATTTTAAAATTTGTTTTTAGAAGCACTGAGGAATACAGCCAAGTCCTCAGATTTTCAGCTTTTACAGCTATAGATAATAGACCATTACATGAGTTTTCTGTTTCATCCTTTCAAGAGAGGGGAGAAAAGAAGAAATAATCAGTCATAGTGCTGCTGTGGTTAATCCACTTTCAACCAACAGTGAGCAAGCCTAGGACCTGGAAAAATACTTTGGCCTCTGTTTCTCCTCCTTAGTTTTGGAGCATCTCATCAGGCCTCTTCATGGTGAGAGGAACAGAAATGGTTCCATTGGCATAAGCTTTGGATTTTGGCTTTGAATTGCAAAACATTTGCATGTGCCAAGGAGGATTCCTAGCTTCCTGGCACAGCAGGATTGAAGTCTCAAAATTCACCTTCTGGCATATTCTTAAAGATGGTTTTAACTTCAGGGTACAGACGGCTCACATTGAATTACTCACTGTCTCACAGATTACCTGGGAGAAGCCTTTTACAATGTAAATCAATTCCATGCCTATAGAAAAGGATAATAATATGTTTCCTAATGTGAAGGCACTACCTGTCACACATGCTCATATTGGACAGATTGTAGAAATGTCTTGAGTACCGTTTTTGTTTACTAAATTACGAGTCTGCTATTTTAATGCAGTTTTTGACATTTTGCCCTCTGGTAATTCAGGATGTAATGCAATATTTTTTTGCAGAAAAATAAGAACTGTGAAACAGCATCCTTTCCACATGCTCAGGTGGACACTGTCCACTGAATGTGCTGGAAGGAGAATCCTGCTGCTCAGGAACATGAGGGGAGAGTCGGTCTAAATCTAACCCTCAAAATAAGACTGCAGGTCTGCACCTGCCCAAATCTGTTTCTGTCATTCTAAGGAGGACTTTTGTCTGAAGTTGTTTCTGCACACATCTTTCAGAGGTGATCTTGATTCCTTTCCAGTTCACGTTACCAGCAAGTTATCAGCTAAGCTTTCATTGTGGCATCTTAATTAATGAAGACAGAAGGAAATCACCAAGGCTTTCAAATCCCCCTGTGGTTTTACAGTGCTCGCAGTTAGGAAATTTGTAGTTTGCACTGTAAAATCATTGCACTGTAAAATGCAATGATTTTGTAGTATAATGATAGCAACTTATTATGATTCATTGGTATCTTCTGTACCAGAATATATTTGGGCCTCTTTCAGTGTGGGCTACATAAACTAGATCAGAATTTGGCCCATACAGATTCTTTCATCTGAGGATTTCAGACTGCTTACCAGACATTAATTAATTTTACCTGCACAACACTCTGGAGACTGTATGCTTAACCTCACAGAGATGTTTCTATTTTTTTCTATATTTTGCAAAATATAAGCCTCCTTAAAACTTCTAAGGAGTATTTAAAGTCCAGAGGTGGATAAAGGAGAGCACCAATACATGATAACCTTACCTGCTTATAAAACAGTTTTCACTCAGGAACAAGGTAGATTTATTAATAGCAATCAGATCTAACTATGGAAAATTGTTTGTGTTTTATCTTATAATTCATTTTACAATTGCTGTATTTATAATTTTTTGACTAGATCAGCAGGAATGCACTATTTACATGTAATAAAATATCCAAGGACATGACATGACTTCTGTGTATTTTTAGTAATTAATGAACATGATATACAATACAAATGAAATTTATTGAATATTTAAAAGGAACTTTTTAGTTGCAGATTGAACTGACCTCTTGTTCTGTAGATTGACTGTATTGTGATTTTTTTTGCTTGTATATTAGCATATCAATATCATTAAGAGGTACATAATAGTAAAACCTGAGTAATGGAGGGATTGATTTTGAAACAAAGAAAGTTGAAAGTTAAAAGTTGCTATAGAAATGTAAATCAATTCATGTTTTTTGTATATCCTGTCTTTAAAGTGATTTGTACTAGCATTTGAAAGTAGTATTTGAAAGTAGTGTTTGGATCAGCCACACTGGGGAAATGATTATGTATTATTATGTGTGCTCTGGTATGTACTTGGGGAAAGAAAGGAATAAAGTGGGATGAAATCAGAAATTATACAGGAACTGAGGTTAATAAATCTGTGCTGGCAGCTGAAGGGCAGAAGCTTTGGAAAGACTTTTGCTGCTGCACAAGCAGATGAGCAAAACAACCATTAGAATCTTAGGGACAGATTTTTTTGCAGAAGAGTTGGTCTTGATTTTTCAGTCTAAAAAGCGTTTGGGTTGGCAGGTTAGGAGCAGAACCACAACAGTGGGAGTGGACAATCAGCATTAGGAAATATGGAGCTTCAGCTTGTACAAAATACCCCCAAAGACAAATGCAGTGTGAAATGTTTCAGACATTTTGTTGGTTTCAGAGACTCTTTGCTAACTGAGAGACGTCATTACTTTCTCATCATGTGCTTCACTCATCATGGGAAAGGAAGAGTCTGGATTTTATTGCATTCCTTGCAAGATTAATACCTTTTTTTCCTTACTTTTCTCTCTTGCCATCACAATACATTTCTCTTAGTTTGGTTGGTTTTTTTTCTCTTTCCTCAGTTATTTCTCAGCTGCTTTCCATTAGGAGGGAGAAATGCCTTGTTTTTTACACAGCCTTTCAATTGTAGAAGCTCCTGATGTTACACCAATGCTCCACTGCCCATTCCCACAGTGGGCCAGGAAGGGACCATTGGTCTGGCTGTGTACTCCAGGCTGTTCTTGTGCTGCTTATAAGTAACCTAGAAAACTGGCCTTAATGCCAAACTGCTGTTAATATTGTTAATATTTCCTTGCCAAGTCAAATGGTTAAACTGAGCTTCAGCAGTGAGCATTGAGTAGCTTGTGTTTGTTCCACCAGCAAACTGCCAGGTTGAATACATGAGCAGCATGTGCTCTACATGCTCCACACAGTCTGCCAGCTGCCAGGAACCCCTGACTAAGTGTGAAGATCTGGGATGTGCTTTATGGCTATTTCATCTGTTGACAGCATTTTCTGGGTGTGCAGAATGAAGTGACCCAGACTATTTCAGCACAGAAATTGTCTAAAGCAAGGTGTAAAAACTTATTTACGAAATATATTGTGGAAGGTGAGTAACTCCATTCAGAATTCCTATGCTGACAGTTGTACATCTTTTCTTTTAAAGATAAAACAATCAAATTGTGGAAAATTACTGAAAGAGATAAGAGACCAGAGGGGTACAACTTAAAAGATGAAGAAGGAAAGCTTAAAGATCTTTCTACAGTAACGTCACTGCAGGTAAGCTTCTGTCCATGTCCAAAATTCAGTTGTTTCTGTATGAAAAAGGTAGTGCTAAGTCAGTAAAAGATTTAAATATGTACCTAAGGCTAAGCATTTGGATGATTATTCTAACTGAAGCTTTAGCTGACTGAAAGCTTGTCATGGGGTGACTTTGCCTTTAAGATAGCTTTGGGAGCTGGGAGGAAGTTGAAGCTGTGAGACGCTGATGGGAGTCTTTTCTTGTGACCAACTATCAGTCATTTCTAAGGATTGACAGCAGTTTTGACCATTGAGAAGTGAGATCAACTTGTGAACACCACCTTAAGATGTAAAGCCAGGGCTTTCTTGTTCTTTTTGGTTTCCGGCTTCTGACGAGGTAACAGGGCTCTGTCTCGGCCTCCTCCCCGCCTCCCTCCAGGCCGGACAAGGCCGCAGAGGGCGGCGGGGAGAGAAACGGAGCTGGCCGGCCTGGCTTGGTTTGTAGTTTCTGCTGCGGGACTGAAACCTGACACCATGAACATCTGCAGCTTTCCAAGACTTTATCTCTTTTACTACCTGGATGAGACTTACAGATTACTCTTTTTTCTGAGAGAGAGAGAAGGATGAGAGAGAGATAACATGAAGAAGACATCATAAAACCATCAAAAACAGTGAAGAAAAGAGTTAAGTTTTAGATGAGGAAGAGAGAATAAGGAGATGTTTTAATTAAGCTGAAATATTTTTCTGTTAAAGCTATGGAGATGGACAATAGTGTTATGAAAAAGAGCTCCTTTAATTCATGACAGAGTGTATTGGGAGGAATGGAGTGTTCAAAGTGTGGATTTTGAGCAAATAGTGAAGTGATTGTGATGCTGTGAGATACTGAAAGAGAGGGGGAGAAGTAATAGTTGAAGATTTGTGGCCTTTTGAGAGGCAAAGAGAAAACTTCTGTTTCCAGGGAGGCTCACAAAAACAGATGAAGAGAACTTTTGCCTTTGAATAACTCATCATTAAAAATGACATCCCTAGACTCATTTGACCCATAACACACCTCAAAGTGATGTGAAATGGGAGGAGTGGACTGATGACAGATTTTTTTTCCGGGCAGCTGGCATCAGAGAAATAGAAAGCTATAACAGAAATAGTTTTCTTGTGAAAAACTCCATAGATTAGCAGAAGAAGACTTCTGTTTCTTTACAAAGACTGATGAAAAGACTCTAACAGGACTTGGGACTGATTTAAACACCAAAGTTCCAAGTTTTTTGTCTCTATGTTGTCATGTGAACAAGGGAATGGTTGAATAGTGGGGGAGAAAGAGGTTTTCTGGAAGTTATTCTGGTTTTCTTATTCTTGAAGTTCTGTTAATAAACTTTCTTTATTCCTTTTAAGTATTAAGTCTGTTTTTCTCTTGTTCTAATCCATATCTCAACAGCAAGAAATAAGTAAGTTTTCTAGTAATTTTTTAGTTACTGCTTTAAAACCATGACATTTATTTGGTGCATTGGCCAGGAAAACGAAATTAGCAAATCTAAACCACTACAAAGCTGTATTGAATCTGCCACATATTTGCAGGTCACAAATGCTTTAAGATGTACTGACCAAAGTAAGCGTTTTTGAGAGTTCACGTTGGTTTTATTTTTCCTGATAAAATTCTCTTATTGTGACTCAATGTGCTTTCATAAAACATTCTTTAACCTCTTGTGCTGGAAGCATTTTACTTGTGATTAATTTTGAACAGGGTTCTTGCCACATTCAGAGCAACGGTGTTAAAGACAGTACACCAAATTTCATCTTTTTTTTAGTTTTATAAAAGAATTATTGTAAGAGTGGGATTTGCAGTAATCTGTTCCCTGGTAAACCTGAGATTCTGCATTGCTGAAAATATGCAGTCATGGAACTCATACAAGCATTTGTTATCATTTTTTTGTTTGGAAAAGACCATTAAGATCATCAAGTCCAACCATGAACCCAGCACTGCTATATTCAATAAACCGTGTCCCCAGGTGCTTCTTCAACACATATTTTAAATACCTCCATCTATGCTGACTCAACCACTTCCTTGGGCAGCCCCTTCCAGTGATTGACAAAAATTTCGGTGAACAAATCTTTCCTAATATCCAATTATAATATATTAACCTTCCCAGTGCAACTTAAAGCCATTTCCTTTTCTCCTGTCACTTGTTTCTTGGAGAGGAGACCCATCATCCACATGTTAATGTAGATTTTTGCTCTCAGACTTTTTTTGGCTGCATTCACTTTAGATGTTTTGGCAAAGAAAGTGACTAAAGGTTAGAAGTGGAAGACTATGTTGTATAAGCACTACTGTGTTCTATAAACACATCTTTATTAATGAAAACAAAACAAGCCAATATTGTCTGTTGGGAAAGAAAGCTCCCAAAGTGTAAATATGACTCCATTAATGGAATATTTATCTATTCTGTATGATTAGGCAAACAAAACTATTCCAGATTGCATATAGTCTGAGAATTCAGCATCTTCTTGAGGGGAAGAGGAGGGGCAGGCCCTGATCTCTTCTCTGGGGTGACAGTGACAGGACCCCAGGGAATGGCCAGAATTTGTGTCAGGGAGGTTGAGGTGGGTTATTAGAAAAAGGTCCTTCACCTAGGGGGTGGTTGGGCACTGGAACAGGCTCCCCAGGAAAGTGATCACAGCACCATCATGGCAGAGTTCAGGAAGCATTCGGAAGCTCTCAGGCACATGGTGTGATTCTTGAGGATGGTGCTGTTCAGGGTGGGAGTTGAATTCTTTGATCCTTGTGGGTCTCTACCAACTTGACATATTCTGTGGTCCTGTAATTCTGAGTTGAGTTTTGTTCTTTTAGTAGAAAGTGAAACTAAAATGTTTAATTACTCTATGTTCCTCTTAAACTACCTTGTGGATTGAGGTGTGATTGTTTCTGAAGCATGTTCAACAACATTGAATAGTCCCAGTCATGGACCACAGCTTTACAGTGTTTAATGCTTTATTGATAGGGAGTAAATTGAGTGTCTACTTTTTGAAGCATGACTTTGAAGTGACACACAGGGAAATAATGAGGGCACACTGACAAGTGATAATCTGTGATACTGGCTTTTCAGGGGTATATGTGTATGTACAGTATGTCATGTTGGCTTTGTTTTGCAAGCATTTCTTTGTTGTATTTCTCTGAGATTTCCACCACTTGAGTTTTTTGAAAGAGAAACATCAAGTAGCAAAACAAATACAGGTAAGTGACTTACAACTAATGGCAAACCCTTTAGCAAAAGCAAAATATGAGTGCTTCACTGCTGGCCCAGAGCCTCCTGCTCATGTGGACAGTAGCTCGTGCAGTGGGACTGACCTGTTCTGTGGCAGCTGACAGTCCCTCCCTTCCCACAGTCCAGGCTTCTCATCACTCTGCCTGCCTCTCTTGAATCTCCCTTCCTCCTTGGCAAGGAAGGCCTTACCCAGCAGTTAATCCATGGGGAAGTTCAACTTGTGTACACCGTCAAGAAGTTTTATAATATCACAGTCTTTCAGTGCTTTCTCTCTGCTGGAATTATCATCATCCTAGCAAAACAGTATTTCATGTCTTACTCTCTTTCTGGTTTTCGTTTTTTTTTTTTTTTTTTTTTTTTTTTTTTTTTTTTTTTGGCAGGTGCCTGTATTGAAACCCATGGATTTGATGGTAGAAGTCACTCCCAGGAGAATCTTTGCTAATGGTCACACCTATCATGTCAACTCAATATCTGTCAACAGTGACTGTGAGACGTACATGTCAGCGGATGATCTCAGGATTAACCTCTGGCATTTAGCTATCACAGATAGGAGCTTCAGTATCCTTTATTGTGATTCCTTGCTCAGTGTTCACATAATTAGTAGGGATTAAGAATGCTATTTTAAAATATTTTTCTGTGTGTTTTAAAATATGCCTTTACTTACCAGAATCTCTGCAGTATTTGTAGCAGAAAATGCTGAGATATTGTAAGAGACAGCTAAGAGATTGCAAAAATCCGGGAACTTTATATGAAAAGTAATGGTGGTGCTTAAAGACATTTAAATAGGAAACAGATGCCAGCTGGTAACTACCCACCTGACTAGAATACTCTGTACTGTTGTATCTTGAAGACATTTCTTGCTGAGAGTCTTGCACCTTGTTTTGCTGAAAGGTCAGTCCTGCCCTGCCCCTGTCCCCCATTCTCCATCATGCTGTTTCCCAGTACCCTAATGCCTGAGATGTGCACAGTTTGGGGTTGAGGCTCAGCTGCTTTGTGTGAGTTGTGTCTGTGATTAATGCAGGCATTGATGGTGTTATCCTGAAAACTCCATTGTGGAGTCATTCCGGCCATCTGTGAGGCTGCCCCGTACACTACAACAGGGTGTCTTGGAGAGGGAATGAAAGAGAAAATGTAGTCAAGAAAAGTGATTCTCTGTGTTTTGCAGAACATAAATAGACTGGTAAGAAGAGATATAGGTTATGGGGCCAGGTCAGAATGTTGTATTCCTTTGGCAATTTCTTTTTGAGTGTATCAAAAGGAGTTAGAAGACTATGTCTCTGTGGGTTTATGTAAGGGACTATTAGATGTCAAAGTGAAGTTCTCCTGTTGGGGTAGATTTCCTCAGAGAAGGCACCAGTGTGATGGGGTGTTCTCCCTGTCTCTGGTGATTGTGTTTCTTCCTTTGTGGGCCAGATTAGCTTTGAAACTTAACCCATACCTTGCTAATGTCACAGGTAACAATGATCTTTGAATCAAACAACACTGAATGTCCTTAAAGAATTACCTTTGCAGGGTCAAGTGACAGGTGCCCTTACCCTGGGGATTGTAGTGAATATCTCCTCAGTTTGTTTCCACACTCATACTGTTTTTCTGTCCTTCATCTGTGTAGGTTAAGCAAGTTTAGTAGGTGCTCTCTTTAATATGACTGTTTATTTAGGAACAATTTATATATGGTACTTCAAAGTCCAGCTATGTCTGCCTTGATATCCAAGCAACTGTACTTCCATTCTTTAGTAAGACAGATCACAATTATTTGCCAGCAGACCTATTTGGAGTAGCAGTGTGGATCTGACAGTGTCCTTCTCACAGCAGCTTTACCCTCCAGACTTCTCTCTGTCCTGGACACTTTTACTTGTGACTCTATTGTGTGTCCTCTACTGTGTTTCCTCCTCTTCTAAGGCAGAGCAGTGGGTCAGACCAAGCACAGCAATCTCTGTATGCCTGTGTATGATCATCAGATCACATTCCAGAATGCTTATGCAAGATAAGGCTTTGCCTTTGGCAATTCCTGTTATTGTATTAAAGTGATTTCATAATCTATGGATTGCCAAGACAAATGTTCCTGAAAAGTTTCAAAAACCAAGACAATAGTTGTTATAGTTCATGAGGACAACATGAAATTTTAGTGTCATTTGACACACTAAGAGCTTACTGACAGAAATATCAGCTGTAAATGAATAGCTGTGTGGACTCTGTTTGAAGCTTAGCCCACTGCTGTGGTTGAGTATTTACTGATAAAATGTGTTTGAAGGTTTCTGATTGATTCATTGATTTAGCTCTTAAAGTATGATAAAGTTTATAATGACACACTCATTTTCTGAGTATGTTCTAAGAATGATGATGAGAGGGAAATTAAGTTGTGTTTTTGAGTTTTAGGATAGGAAATATTTCCTGTGTCTGAGATAATGGCTTTGAGATATTTGCATTTCTGTCTTGGATTGGAGTACAGATATTGCTGCATCTTTCACACTTAAATCAAAATCTGTGAGGACTCTGATTAGAGAGTTCAGGCAGTGATAGGAGACAGCACTAGGTAACAGGATAATCAATTCTAGAGGCAAAATGTTCCTGCTAAGGTGCCCATGGTGGCAGCAGGTTGGCTTTTGTGGCTGGATACCTGTATGTATTCAGGAGAGTAGGCTGAGTTAAAGAGGCTGTACCCACTACTGTTTCAGACAATATAAGCTGTACCTGTCTGTACTCTGTTGTCAAAATCAGGCCATCAGACAGATTAATTTTACCTTATTCTTTGATAAACAGAAATTTTGACATAGGTATTCCAAGAGAAGGTGACATACAGAATATTGTTCATAGTAGGGAATTAACTGGGAGGCCGTGATAACTGAAAGAAGGGGATGATTAAGTTCAACTTGCATCAGCCTCCTGACAGATATCTTTCTGTCCATATAGAGCCCTGTACATCTTGTAAAATTGCAGAGATGTGTTTTTCCTCTGGATAACATCTGTCCCTGAAACTGCATTTCTGTCCTACAGAAAAACAACTTGCATAAAAATCTCCTGGAAGTAGATGAGTTTCTGGTAAAATCAGTGGGTGTGCCAGTTGCAATTAAGACTAGACATATTAAGGTGAAAAAATTCTGCCAAGCAAACAGTTTAAATTATAAATGAATGTTGCTGGGCTTGGTGCCTTCTGTGACACATTTATGGGGATAGGCAGGAGGAGGCTGAGGCTGTTCTAAAAACGTGTGTTACACATCTTTTTACTGAATGCAAAAGAGAAATGAAGCATCTTGCTGTTTACATTCAAGGCTTGATTCCTTGAAATGCATGTTTAAAAGAATAAATAGAAAACTTTTTGGTTTGAAGTGAGTTTGGTTAAAAAGGAATCTGGCAGGGATGCGTATTTGTCTATTTTCCCTCAGAGGCAGCACTGCTACATATAATGACCTACAATCTGTTTACCCAAGAGGCTGGTTGTGACAATGACACAAACAACAAATACAGTGGTAGAGTTTCTGGACATTCACTAAATGTCTGAGCATCTTTAGCATGGGAAGTGCTGGAGAAAGACTGAATCAGCAGCAATGTGTTTAAGTATTTTACAAGCAAAGTACTTTTCCCTATAGAATTTAATTTGAGAACAGTTTGGTTATAACCATCATTTTACTGGTTTTACAAATCACTGATAATTTTTCATTTCTTTGAAAATACAGAGCAGTGGAGATCTTAAATTAATTCTCTTTCTGTAGTCTGTGGGAAAATATTTTAAATCAACTTTGCAGAATTTGACCAGAATATTTACCTTAGGTAAAGCCTTAGGCAGATAAAATACAACTAGTGCTTTTCTGGTTTGTTTTTGTATTTGTGTGAGCACTAACTGGGGTGAAGAGCAGACAAGTGAGTTTATGCTATGCCCATGTAAATTTTAATAAGGAGTATGCAAGACTTCAGTACATTACTTCCCACTTGCAAGCAGATCTGCTCAGTAATGTTTGGGCAGGAGGAGGCAAGGGAGAGGAGGAGGTGAGAGAAAAGGAAGGGGGAAGGTTAGCCTGGTAAATAATGGCACGTACTAGGGTTTTCTTCAGTAAAAGGCTTAATGTGTTTGGTTGTGTTATGGAGAGCAAGAGTCAGTGACCTTAATTATGGCTGATATTCTGCACTGGAAAAGAAGTAAGGTAAGGGTTGCTGTATTTGTTAATGTTTGGTCTGAACTGGTTTAGCAGTGTTGCCCATGGTTTAAGCCTTTAGATAGTCATCTTGGGTGAAGTGAATGAGAAAAAAGGACTGCCAGGAACATACTGATAAGGCTTACTTGCCATTAGCAGCAATCTTTGGACTATCTAGCTGCACTAAATATTCTTTATGAGAATGTATTTGGATTGCTCACAGAACTATGTAGCTCGTAGCACTTGAACTCCCTTCATTTCCTGGTAGCACACTATTTCACTCTAGAGGCTGTCATGGCATTGCTATGGAAACAACATCGCTGTTTCCAGCATGTGCTCATCTTGAGACTCATCTTGACTAAAATACTCATTTCTCAGTCAGATCAATATAGTCCAGGGTTATCCTGTTTTAATAAAAAATTCCTTCTTCTGTGTCCCAAAAGGGTTAAGCTAATTAGCAAATCACCATAGGGCCTTTTTCTAGTCTAATGTATTCTGGTATTTGAGGCATATCTTGGATAGTCAGTTTCTTAGGCATCATATCTTGGGAAAATGAATTTACTTAAGAAGTAAACAACAGGGAAAAAATGGAAAAACCCAAAATAACATGGTGCATTGATGGGACCAAGTTTGTGGCAGCCCACTGTGCAGCTGAATGTAGTATATAGGGCAAATACAGAGCTCAGGAAGCAGCCTAGGCTGGGGGAGATAGCCAGCCTTACAAAATCCCTGTACCTGCCTCAGTGCTAAGTATGTGAAAGCTAAACTGAAAGCAGATCTGCAGTATTGTCTTGTTATTTGTGGAGGAAGTTTATACCCGTGAGTGAGATAAGGCTGTTTGTATAAAAATGCCTGAGCCAGGATGACTGCACAAGCTGTGTGCACAAGGGTTCCTTTTCTGTGCTCTCAAAAGCATGTCTGTACTGTGTGAGAAACTGGTGCCACCCTCGCCCACAGCACTGTTTCCCTACAGAACACACCTTCTGTTTGGGAGATGATAGACCTCATTTCTCTTTTGAGAGCTCTGTGTAATCTATGTTAGCAGTTCCTTTTCTGTCAAGAGGAGTGTGTCAGTCTCTATCAGGTATTTAAAAGGTGAATTTTACACCATGGAGTCATATTCCAGCTGAGTTGCTACTAGCAACGTTTGAGTAGCTTTTCCTCAAATTTGTGTTCTTTTGTTCTTTATTTCCTAGAGTCTCTCCCCCTCCCACATGTCTTGTGTGTGTGTGTGTCTCTGTCTCTCTCTGGTAAAGGAGAATGAAGATGCATGCAAAGCTAAAATCAGGTCTGTAAGTCAGAGGATTGCAGGGGTGCTGTGAACACTGATCCCATGGTTTGGAGAGCTCTCTTATTCTAACTCTTGAGAAAGGCTTGCTTTGCCTTTCTCATTAAGACACTCCTATGTGAGCAACTGAGGGGGAAAAA